AATTAGTACCGTCATGCTCAAATATATTACATTAAATTTTACATTAATTACAAAATGTATTAGCGAATAGTTCATCACAAAATAAAACAACCCTGCTGAGAAAGTCTGAGATTGACAAAGAACAAATTGGGCGATTTCGTCAATCCACTAAAATTACCCAAGAAAGCACTGATAAATTTCTTTGCCTTAATAAATTCTTTACCATATTTTTGCACCAAGTATGTAGCATAAGTTAACTATGGTTTTGAATCTATCAAATATTGATTCATATATTACCCCGACATTCTCGCAAGGGATCATGAAATTGATATTCGTTCCGCACCTGAATTCTTCGCTTAAGCAAACAATACCTCCCTTTGATAGTGATGTTGCATCATAATTCTTTTCCTTGGCTTACCTGTAACTGTGTCGCAATAGGAGTCGCACCTATTTTTTTATGGAATAAACTGAGTTCATCATTTTCTTCCGGCTAACTTCTATTCTTTGACTTTATTTGCTCTTGAAACATTCAAGAATTTCAAACTTTAGATAGATAGCAGCAAATTTTTAGTACATTTTATTGGCCAATGATTTGAGCTTTCATATTTTGCTTCAGTTATTTACTCTAAGTTGACTTTCAATATTTCAATCAATTTGAGGGAATTTTGAATGCGATTATATTAATTTACGATGGCCTTTACGATTAGAAACTTTCCAGCTCATATAATTTTGGTTTAAATCGAAATTTCATAAAGCAAAAATAATTTCGAGGCTTTTTTTTCAATTTCTTTTTCACTACAAGAACCGAATTTTGGTTTTAAAAGAAGCCTTGAAATACGATTTGTTCGCCTAATGTTTTATTTTCCATTTAAAACTTTTGGAATCCTCCAACTTTCTCCTAAGTTGTTCGTAATTTTATTTCCCAGCCGTTGGGAAATACGACGATGCTATATTAGAACAAAATGTATTGCGCGAGGGAATGCATTTATATTTGCACTACTTTTTAACGATGACAGAATTCTAAATGCTTAAAAAATTTATTTGGCATTTTACATTTAAATTTTTTGAGTATTTTTTTTTTTATCACTTCATCATTTTTAATGATTTTTTATGCGAAATTTTATAGTGTAATTTTATTTTCTATGTGCGATTTATGCGATTTGCTCGAGCGAGCGAATTGTGCTATAAATTATTCGGTGATAAGCTTAATACAGTATTTTCAAGTAATCTTTTTGCGAATTTTATTCGAAAAAGTGATTGATTCTTGGTTGATCGTCAATATTCAATGAATAAATTGCAATAAGAGCCTTTTCGCGATCTTCAAGGTCTTTCTATTATTCATTTGAAGCAATGATTCAAAAACTCATACCGACATGCATTTACAAATCGCCTAAATATGCTATCTTCTCAACCAATTATTTATTAGAAATTTCCAAATATTTATTGGAAATTTTATAAAATGATAAAAAATTCAAATTCTTATCATGAAAAATTTGTGAAAATTATAGATAATACAGAACAAATTCATGAGTTTATCTAGTTTCATGCAAAAAAAGAAAAAAAACTTGATAAAAGCATCAATGAAATTGATATATTCGGGTTGTGCACCTTTTGTTTAATTAATCCTTTAATTTTTATTGGAAATAAAAATTTCATTAAATTTTCGGTAATGAACGATTAAATATTATTCTTATTATTTTTATTTTTATTATTCTTTATTTTATTTAATGATTAATCTACTTTACTAGTTTCTCCTATTTCAACTAATTGCATATTTATAGTATTTCTGGTTTGGCTAGTTCCACTATTTATATTTACTATTGGTTTGTCAACAGCAAGTTTTAAAATAGATATTTCTGATATCAAAAATTTCGAGAAGTGTATTTTCTCGATCGCCTTCGTTTCATTACCCGCATTTTTTTCTCGACTTTAATACAATAATTAAATATATCTTTCACATACAAAATGCATGCATGAGCATGCACATGCATATGCATGTCAATAAAAATTTTAATATAATTGATGTGATTTTCAATTACTTAAGCAAAACAAAAAAAATTATAAATAATTGAAATTTTTAATTGAAACTTAGTGATGCATAAAAATATTTGTTAGATTGAAAATTCATTAGTTAAAGAGCACATGAAAATTTGGCTTAATGCATATAAATAAATAATTTTCTATTCTCACAATCTTATTTTGGTACATTTAATAAAATATTATTTCAATGAACTTATTATTAAATATCGTTCTTCCGTAAAGAACCATCACTTCTATCATTTCATCGCTATAATTTTCTTGTTCATTGTCGTCTTATGGCCTATAAATAAAAAAGAGGCATAAACACAAAACGCTATGAAGCACTATGAAGTATAGCAAGAAAATTTGATGTGCGCGATAACTCGTCGACATAGCGATGACCTTTTGAGGCGTATAAGGCAATGACCATGTCATTGAACTTACTGCGCTTCTATCATTAGTCGAAATTTTCACAATAGCTATAAAAGCTTAGGAATGAAAAAAAAATGTATATATATATATATATAAGGGAACCATATAACTTTAATGATTTAATGGAAAAAAAAGCAGAATTAATTTGATGATTTGAATTTAATTGAAGAAAAAATAGAATTATAATTTAACATTTTACTATTAAAATAATTTAATAAAATAATTTATAAAATTTATAAAACAATTTATTATAACAATTTATGATAATGATATGATGTGATAAGCGAAATGATAAATTTATTAAAAATTTTTACCGATTTTTTTCGATTGTAAAATTACAAGCCATAAGCTTTACAAGCCATAAATTATAATTGATTAATTATATTTTAAAACATTTTAGTTAATTTAACACCAATTAATTATTGCAACAATATAATTGTATTTCCTAAAAATGTTTGACCATTTTTTGCTTAAAGCGCTTTTCGCTGGTTCCGCTAGACCAGATAAATTTTTTATTAGTGCATTACTTGGCAATGGAAAAATAGATGCCAGTCGCCAATATTATTGGCAATTTTTGAAAGATAGATTTACTTCCGTATGGAACTGTTTTTGAGCCACGAAATAAAAATAATACCTCACTGAACCATTCTTCCTATATAATAATTAAATTATAATATATAAAAATTCAATTAAAATAAAATTAAAATTAAAATAGTATAAAATGCCTTTTTTTTCAATTTTTCATAATCCATAGCGAATATGTAATTTTTACGATTATTGTTCTGTTTATACAAAAAAAGATAAAACATAAAAAACAACTGACCGACGACAATTAATTAACCAATTTTTTCGTTTATTCGATTGCTTCAAATGAAAATTTATTAATTTATAAGAAAGTTGGAATAAATTGAAAATGGTACCAACGCCATAAAAATACTTCAGAAATCCTTCGTATTCTTCTAAATTTTCGAAATAATAAATAAATTCGTTCAATTCATTTTATAGTTTTGTATACAAACATTTTATGAATGTTATTTGCTCGGAAATTCGCAAATCGTTCAATTAAATTTTCTATTCTTCCAACATTTTTAAAAAATTTTTTCCATTAAATTTTTTTTCATTTATACTATTTTTAATTTTTTATTAAAAACAAAATGAAATAATTTATAAGTTTTCAATTTTTTATTAAAAGCAATAAAGTAATTTTTAAGTTAAGAATGGAATAATTAGGTGGGTAATTGAATTTTTGAATTTTAAAAGGAATATTTTTTTGGGGGGATAGAATGGCTCAGTGGGTTGTTGCTCGATTAAGAGTACCGAAGCTAAGGTTCGATTCCTCGTAGGAATGAATCTGTCCAAAAATTCGGGTGATGTTGGCGACTCACCTGTACTTCTATCGTCAAGAGACTCCTATTGGCATATTGCTTAATGTGACAAGCCAGTGAAGCGAGTTAAACCAGTAGTGACTGTGAAGATTCTTTAAAAAAAATAGAGCAATTTTTAAGTTAAGAATGGAATAGCTAAGTGGGTAATTGTTGTCAAATAGGAGGGAGATTCAACTGTCGGCTTTCTACTCTCGATTGAAATAATGTTATCTTCCAGAAATACTAGTGATGCTGGTCAATCAATTTTATTTATTTCTATCATAATTCCTGGCCAATGTAGGCAGAAATAGAGAGTATTGTTTAAAAAAAGTTATTGGCCATATTTCGTAATTTATATTTCGATGTGATTTCTGGTCATCAAAGATATCTTGATTAAAAATCAGTGATAATTATCACATTTACATTTGTCCAAAATTAGTTGCAAAATAAATTTCGCTGATAAATTTTCACGTTCCTTTTATGATAAAGTTTCAATATAGTTATGGCTTGAACTCAGGCTAGAAGCTTGAGCTTAAACTTGAATTTGAATTTGAATTTGAACCAAAATGATGCCATACAATGCCATATTTTCTGCCAACATTATACCAATGCTACAAATATAAATAAATATGTATAAATTATATAAATACACTAACGGCTAGGTACCAACACAACTTTATTTATTTAAGTGTATATTGACAAATCACAAAAGGAAACCTAAAATTTAGGAAACTTGGTGCGAATGGCAATCGATATTTTTTTCGAAAAAACCTTTAAAAAATCAGAATATTTTCGTACGGATTAATGGCACTCTGTGAAGGGTGAAATGGGCCATTGCTAGGCCATTGCATGATAAAATTATTATGCTGATGCACCACCATTTAATTTGTCCTTTTTTCTTGTTTTTCTTATTTTAAGGCAAAATTTATTATTTTATTTATTATTTTTATTTTTTAATTTAACTAAACTATTATATAAATAAATTTATTGGTACTCTGTCACCCTATTTTTATATAATAATAATTTAATTATTTTAATAATAAAATTTTAAAAATAATAAAAATAATTTAAAACCAATTTTTTCATATTATTTTGCATATATTCTTTCCCAAAAGATATGATGACTCTAGTTAGCCAATTTTTTTTTGTAATTTTTTGTAAATATAAATTTATAGCCTCAAAGAATTTCATTATCAGTTTTAAATAATGCTAGCAGTGGTAATATTACTAATATTAACGATTCATGCACAAAAATCTATTGCAATCACTTGTTATAAATGTTCAAGTGATGGCGGAGAAGATTGCTTATCACGAAGTACATCTTGCTCATATGGTTTCTTTGGTTGCATCAAAACAGTTACATATTCGGGAGGACTTGATAAAAGTAAAATATTTTTTTGAACATTTTTTTGAGTAATAATTATCAGCAACATTATCAAAATGTATCTAAAATGATATTCTCGTTATGAAATACATAGCAGACTTGTAAAACGGTTTGTAATTTTTTCTATTTTAGCCAGATTTTTTCAAATTTTGAAAAGCTTTAGTGAGAATTGTTTAAACATAAATTTATGCAAAGGATTCACTGAATTAATAAGTGATAATTTGGTGATTATTTTATAGTGATAATGGTGATCATTTTGAAATTTCTTTATTTTCCCGACAATAACTGATAATCGATTGAAATTATCAATTGTTGATGATAAATTTAATAGGTGAATGCGGCAGAATAGCTGAGAGCTTGTTCATTATCAATTATGATTATGATTATTTTATTATTATTACTGTTTCTTCTATCATTTATTATTGCTATTATCACTTTTATCATTGTTAACATTAATATTATTAATATTATCTGCTAAGAATTTTGCTCTTAATAGAAAAAAAATGGAAATATATAAATGAATAAAAAAGAAAATAACCTCTCCTTATAAGTAAGAACTAATCCAGCGATTATTGATAGAGCGATAGCATTATGGGCTTTCAATTTAATCCTTTAAAATTGCCAGCTGTAATTCTATGTGAATTATAATGCATTTAAGTTGTAATGGCTTCTACCGTTGTCCCGTAGGGGAGTGAAATCAAGAAGTAGAGCACTGAAAGTGTAGGGGAGTACTGTGGGAGATTATAACTAAAATTCAAGATTATTGAAAAATAATCTTTATACATTCTGACGACTATGGAAACTGTACAGTAGAATGTAAAAAAATATTTTAAGAAATTAAAAATAGCTTTATTGCAGATTTCATAAAATATACAAAGATTTAAAATTATTAAACGAGTAGGGCAGTATTAAAATACAGCAGCAGCAGCTGTATTTTCTATAGTATACCAGTACCGTGACTCCCAAATTCTACTATTATTGTATAGACCGAAATTATTGAATAAATGAAAAATTCTTCCCGTCTTTTTGCTAGTTCTACTTAAGCAGCTGAGTAGATCAACTGATAAGTACAAAACAAAACAAATTATTTCATAATCATATAATCAGCTATTTTTTATTAAAATTCTTGATCAGCTAAACAAATGATAAGTACAAAACAAAACAAAGCAAATTCTCTCATAGTCATATAATCAGTTATTTGTTGAAATTCTTGGCTTAAATTGTTTAAAAAATTTAAATTTTAGTGGGTAACAATGAACCAAATCTCGAAAAACGAATTATTTCAATGAATCGAGACTGTACAATACTTCCTATTACTGGCGTCGATATTTGCCGTCAAGTTTCATTTCTTGGCTATCGTCTTCAAACGTGCTATTGTTTCAATGATTTTTGTAATTGTGCCTCATTGAGGACACTTTTATTCTCTTTTTTATTTATTGTTATTTTTCATATTTTTTATTTAATACTACTATAAAGCGTTTAGAAAATTATAGCTTCAAATCAACTTATCATTTCGTGATAAAACGAATGATTCTCCTAACGTTTTTCTCGTCTTTCAGTGAAAATTCCGATGGATTTGCCTAGTTGGATTTATTTATTTATTTATTTTTATTTATTCTTGTTTGCTTATCGATAAATTATTAAATCACCTTAGCCTTAGTTGCCATTTTTTTTAATGCTTTGCCGCATAAATTTAATTAAATTAGAGCTCTATTATAGGCGACTTTTGTTTCTGAAAAAATTTTTTTTAATGAATTTTTTTCGAATATTTTTTATTTATTTTTTTATAATAAGAATTTTTGGCTTTAAGTAAATAAAGTTAGGTTCTTTAATTCCCTTATAAGTATTACAACTGGACAGAAATTTTTAAGGGAAATAAATGAATATGAATTAGAATTCAATAATAAGAAAATTTGTTGGTATAGAACAGGAAGTAAATATATGAATAAAAATTAATGTTGCAATGAAGAAGATTATACATTTATACATTTGTGCATTTTCGGACCAATACAATGAAGTAGAATAACAAATAACAAAAGAAATTAATAGGTGCTTCAGGAACGTTATTTAGAAGACTTTACAAATAAAAATAATAACTGATTTCTGAAAACTGATTTCTTATATAAACAAATTCTACATAATGATATGATTATATGAAAAATTATTAACAAATTTAGGGAGAGCTATGAGATGAAACCGGCATCTATTAACAATGACACCTCATAGCTCAACAACGATTATGAGGAAAATCATGATTCCTTAGTGGTGATAATAAATTGGTATGCTGAACCGTAGTAATCGTTGCTCGCTGAAATTCACTACCACCTGGTTTCAAAAAAAATATTTCACCATGAGGTGAAATAACAGCAGAACCTATTCCCATAATATCAGTTGCCTGAAATATTTTCTATTGAATAAATGAACCATGAATATTTTAATAAAAGACTTTGCGAATAAAGAAATAAAGAAAATATTTCATATTCTAATATTTCATATTCTAAATAAAGAAAATATTTCATAAACTAAATAAAAATAAGATAAAAAAAATAAACAAAATGAATTCACCCGAACAAATTGAACTTTAGTACACAATCGCAAATTTACAGCCGAAAAAAGGATTAATTCTCCTTGATTTGTAACAATCAAAAGAAATTTTTCACAAATTTTTCTGCCTGCAAAAAAATATTCGAAATATATATTAATCTGTGAAACTTTTTTATTTTTTAAAGAATGATCGATAATATTTGTAAAATATAACTAAAACTAACTTAAGTTCCACAGCGACAATAATTGTGCTTTTCGTAATCGAGAACCTTCCACACCTGTTAGTCTACACTTTGGTCGTGCTGGTTTCATTGATGGTAATGAAAAGGTTTTAATTTGCTCTTCGGTAAAAACAATTATTTTATGAATGCTGGACATATTCTATAAAATGAATTTCTTAAAATTAAAAAAAAATAAATAAAGTCAAATTTAAAAAATTGATAGAATTCTATTTAAAATTCTATAATTTTACGAATTTTGTATAAAATTTTGCAAACCTACTAAAATCAAATTGATCAGATTATATTTTATGTGAATCACACTTCACATCAAATTAAATTTTTTCTGCAAAATTGAATTTTTAAAATTTTAAAATAAAATTTTTAAAGTTTTTTCTAAGTGAATTTTTTATTTATAGTGTGAAAGGATGGGGAAAAAATTCGTTAAAAACCTTCTAAAAAAAGATAATAGCCTCAATATATTTCTAGTTAAAACAAACTTTAACAGATGGTGATCCACCCATCGCAATACATGCAATATCAATCACTGGCGCACGATGATGCAAACGAACTTCTTTCACCAAAACACAAACGTCTTCTGGTTTTCTAGCGTCATCAACAATAGCATAAACCAAGATTATCCCTGAAATAGTTCGACCGCTACTTCCAGTTGGCGCATTTCCGAATAGCATATCCGTAGATTTGGTATGCCGCTATACGCTTTCAATTGGGACCAATATTTATCGCCCGTTCCAGAGATATCGTTGGCATTTATGTTATCACTGATGTAATTTATCACAGAGGTGTTTTCAATTTCTAGGTTTTATGATACATTACTGTTCTAAGATAATGAAGCTATCTATTTACCTGCATTTGTTCCGACCCAAAAACTATCAGAAGTGACTGATGCAGCTAGGACGTTTGTACTATAAAATTTCAAAATTCGAATGGCCGAATGAGGAGGATCACCAGCTAAAATAAAATGATTTATAATGAAAAATAATTGGAATTTTTTATTCTACAGATTTCAGCATAAAAGTTGGATATGCTAGAATATAAACCATTCAACGGGGCTTCTGAGCGTGCTTGAACTTGCCGTTCCATAGGTCTGATTTCTGTGTTTGAACAAGAAGCTTCACTTTGAATCAAATCATCAGTCTGAAAAGGAAATATTATATAACAAAAATAGTAAACAATGAAATTAAATTAACGACAAATCTTTGTTATTTAAATAGTATACTAATTTTACTAATTTACTTGTCGTCTTTTCTTCCTTCTGAATGATTGTCGTATTGATTTTTTCATGCTTTTAAATCTGGTTAGAGCCCCTGATAAAGCAGATACTTCAGAAATTTCTAAAAATAAAATATTTTAAATTTAAAAAAATTTAAAATTCTAAAATATACTCATTTTAAGAGTGAAAAAACCTATATGATAAAAGTCCAGTGAAAAATTCTGCGATATATATAAAAAATTTTCAAAATCTTGAACCTTCGACAGAAAGAAGGCAATTCTTAATCAATAAAGTTTGACTCTTCAAATCACAGAGAACAAAACCATATTCACAGCCAAGTGCTAGTAAATTACGAGAATGCAAGGAAGCAATAGCTGTAATTGAAACAGCAGGACGAAGTTGCGCGAACAGACTAAAAAATATTCAAAAAAACTTGCGAATATTATGATACAATGAAATAGACACACTACGGATAGATTAAAATTAAAAACCAGCTCTGTAGCGGTCAAAGCAAAATAAAACAATTTTTAAGCAAAATGATTAATTTTAGCTAGTTATAAAAAAACCATTATTAACCTCATATTATCATTGGCTTTGAAAGGCTGGAAACCAACAGAATACGTCTGTTTTGATTTTCTAGCAGGAATAGGTTTTTGAGCAGCTCGGTTCGAGATAGTTATATCAACAATATCGAAAACAGCACAGAGAACTGAATCTGTTTTCTGTAAGAAATTTAAAATTTATTATTACAGCAATAAAAAGACTTGTCCTATGAACGAATTATCCTTGCAAATCCTAACGTACCTCCATGATATTTCCTTAAAATCCGCTCCGCTGTATTCCCTTAATACCCGTTCGAAATTTGATGTCCAGTTTCCGTCCGCCAAATTCCTATAATTCTTCTCCAACACCTTCCAATTCTAAGAATTATTCTTCGATAACCCCAGTCACCTAGTAGCAATCGCAAAAGTGCACTGAGGTTCGAATGTAATAAAATGGCACAAAGGAGCCACGGTTAAGTCTTATTATTATTATTAAAGGGATTGGATCCAAAATTTTGGATAATGCAAAGCGCTTTAAGCGATCTTAGTGCCATTCCCAGAGGTTTTTCAAATGCTAGCTTTTTGGAAAATATTAAAGTCAAATCGATCACTTTTTGTTTAGGGAATGCTCGCAGACTGCAATAAACGATCCATTAAGACTATATAGTGCATCAGGGTAGAGTGGAATTTGCGAAATTAAAATAGCATAAAACAATTTCAATTTTATAGAGGTATTTTAACGAAAAAAGTACAGTGAGGTTTGATATATTAAAGGTGATCAAGGAATTTTGGAGGAAAACAACAGGTTCTGAGCAATAAAAAGATCTAGGATTTAATATAAAGGGAGTTTACCAACAACGTTTGAGGACAAAAAATATCCAAAAATTCCAAGAGTTAAAAAAGAGTTTATAAAAGAGTTATGTGGGATATGGAAATGTATGGAAGACTATACAGGATTTAGAGGACGCTACGAACTGGGCAAAAGGGGACACTGGAGATGGATAGGGTTTTCAAAGAGAAGTAAAGGGATTAAGAGTTCAATGAAAATTGAGAAAATTTCAGATTTTCCAGAAAAATTACTAAATTTTTTGCCAGAATGTAAACACATAAAAATAAAAATCCATCAACATTTAATATATACCAAAGGTTCGCTTTCAAGATCATAAACAATTGCATGACCAGCATTTCCACCAATTGCCAACTGACCGGTGCTTGAGTCAAAAAATATTTTGGATATAGCAAATCGAGGATCATCGCAAAATGGGTCATATACGCCTACCTATAAAAATATGAACCATTCTTTTTTATTAATAATTTAACGATTTGAAATTACTTTTCGAAAAGGTGGCCATTCAGAGACTTCCTCAAAAGAATCGTCATCTTCATCCAAGTCATCTGGTGATAGTCTCGAATTTCCTGCAAAACAAAGAATTATAGAATAAAATGAGTAAATAATTTGAAAATAAACGATAAAATATAAATTAACAGGAAAAACTAAACTGAAACTGATAAAAAATTTTAAACGGCATATTCATATTTAAATATTGAATTATTTCATTAAAAAAATTAATTTAAATTATTTAATACTTCTAATAAAAAATACTTTGCGTTTCCTTCAATTCATCACCGAGGAAACATCCAGCAAATTCCTTAGTTGTATTCACTGAAAATAAATGAGACATGTTTATCGAACCAGTTGACCAGAAATTTACAAAGCCATTTTCATGTCTGAAAAATTTCTTTTCATTATGACTGAAAGAATTTCTCATAATATCGTTGATTATCAAAAATTGCACTACAGTTTTCAAAAATATTTCAATCTATACAATATTATTATTGCATAAATCTTGAACATCGAACTTATATATAAAAGATTAGTATAGAAAAAATTTTAAATATTCTAAAAATATAACCATTTGAAAAAACTTTTTTGAAAAAATACCCAGTTATAAGCAATTGACGTTTTTCAACATTTGTAGCTGCACAAAGTATAGGTGGTTCAATATCAGACCCAGCGAAAATAGGCCATTTTTTGGAACCTGACTTCTCTTTCCGAATCAATTCACTCGCTTTCGTTATATCCTGGACTTTGTTTAAAAAAATAATGTTATTTCGTTTTTTATAAAAAAAATGTCCAAAAAAAATTATATATTAATTTATTCATCAACTAAATAATTAATTTGAAGCTAAAATTAAAAAAGCAAGCAGTTAAATAAACTTAATTTTTTTATATAATAGCTAATGATAAATAGAAGAACCTTCCACACATGCTCCTCGATATTAGTATAAAGCATGTTACAAGTAATTGGAGAGGAATGCAGTGAATGAAGATATGGCAATTCTAATACTGGCCACTGCTTTTCGGTGAGATCGATACAAACTAATTCTTGCTCACACAACACCATCAAAGCTAAGGCTCTCGAAAAATCGGCTACTAAATTTAGCTTAATTTGGATATGAAAAAAAAGGAATAGTGGAAGGTTATTGAGTTTTCGATTTCCATAATTTCCATATGCAATAAAATTTCATTGAATCAAAAGCCTTCATTCAAACTAAAAAAAACGAAAACGAAAGAACTAATTATTATTAGAAAAAAGACTATCCAGCAATAAAAATTTAAAATTTACCCGAATTATCACACAAAGCTGGAACAATAAAAAAATCGATCACTGGGCTACTAAAATCAAAAACCACTATTCTTCCTTCTCGAAGGGCTGTAATCGTATAGCGATCACCATAGGAAGCACGAGGCATACCACCGGTAAAAAACTTGACCATTGATAATTCGCTAAAAATAAAAAAATAGAAAGAATGAATCAAGAACAAAGAATCATTAGAAAACGTTTTCAAAACATAAACAAACTTCAAAGGTTTTGCCCATTTAATTTTCTTTATTGATGTACAAGGAAATGGCCCAAAAGGTATGGCCGAAGATTCAACATTTGCTGCCGTTTCTGCCGACCAAGTGTCTAATGAGCCATCTGTGTGCGAAACTATAAAATGAATGCCATCAAAATGCCAATCAACATACTGAAAAAGCAGATAATTAAAACTAAAATGGTAATAAAAAAATTCTTTGAAAAATTTGAGAAATTTTGAAAACAAGTCAAAATGCTTTTTTTCTGCTTCAAATTACGCAACTGCACGGAGAAAGTTTAGGAATCTGGTTAATCTGGTTAAGTATGGCGAGGTTTGAAGGAGTATTAAGAAAAAAAAAAGATTATATGGAAAATATGGAAAGGAGTCATGTTCTTTTCAGAATGAGATCTTTTTACTAGTTTTTCAATAATTAATTAATTCAATAATTAAATTATTGAATTCTTTCACAAAAATATTTTAAAATCGTACTGTAACAGATTGTTGAGACGACCAGTGACGAATGGCGTTCTTTGTCGAAAGATCGAAATAAACAAATATATGCGAACCGAATAAAATCAATAGTTTAGATGCATCGCTAGGATTAACAGCGATCTGTTCCACGGATCGTGCATCATTTTTAATTGATGGTACACTAAAATAAAAATACTAAGATCAAATATTTTTTAGATAATTAAAAATTGAAAGTCATCTAAAGATTATATTTGTTTTTTTTTTGATATTGTTCTGTAAAATTTTGAGAAAGAAAAATTAATATTAAAAAGATTACCTTACAGAAATATTTTCGTCGAACAAAACTAATTCGGAAAGTTCGAGTGTTGAAACCGAAATCGAAAAAATATTTCCAGTAACAGTTCCAATTAGTGCACGCGCATCATCCTGATCGACGAAATTCTGCATTCCACAACTAGTGATTCGTTTCAATCTGAAAGACGAAAATGCTACACAAATAGTAATACTACAAAATGCTACAAAATGCTACATAATTATTAAAGGTATAAAGATAAATTTTCCCACGGCTCATTTTTTCTTTTATTGTATTGTATAGGCTCTTTTTTTTTTATTGCATTGTAAATATGCCGTAATATTGTATTGTACAATATTATTATATAATATAATTTTATTTTTTCCAGAAATCAAAAAATAGGCTTTGGTAAAGCAAACAATAGAAAAAAATTTTCGAATAAAAATATATGCAATTTCAGCATACAGAATAAAATAAAAAATGCAATAAATGCGAAATTTATAAATTTTTATAATTTTTATAAATATAAATTTTGTAAAAATAAATTAAACCCATCAACTTATAATTTGACAAGTTTTTCGAGAACCTCTTTCCAGGATTGACGGTAGTTTGTTGAATTCGATCACCATTAATTTGAAATTTGTTGAACGTTTGGTCGGAGCATAAAGCAATTAAAACACCTGTGCCCACTGCAAAATAAAGATACAAAGTACATAAATTCTGAGCAGTGTTCGTACTCCATTCCACATTTTTAGCACCGAATCTAAAATATAAAAATAAACTTTCTAGAATTTTCAAAAAATTTTAAATGGATTTGCGCAAAAAAAATAAAAAAATATGTCGTAAAAAAGAACATTCGAATTTGGCCATCACGAGTTGCAACTGCCATCAATCCTAAAGTATAATCGTGAGCTAATGCAGTTACATTCTGCGGAAATCCATGCTGAAGTGTCTGGAAATGAAATATTTAATATATTTAATTATAACGTGTTCGGAATCCTTGCAGAAATTATTTGTAGCTGGAAGAAAAATAGTACTAAGCTTCAAGGACCTAAAGAAATTATTAATTCTAGGCGTCAAAATTCTCACATTAACAAAAAAATAAGTTTCTAACAAATAAAAATAAAATTCTCCGCACGCTTATCTTACGAGACTGGACACATTGACAACTCATTCTATCGACCACCAAAAAGAAGTGGAATGGCTCAACGGGTTGTTGCACGATTCAGAGAGCAGATGCTGAGAATCTACTCCCCGCAGGAGTGAAACTGCCAAAAATACAGGTAATGCTAGCGATTCACTAGTACTTCTGTCGCCAAACGAATCGCTGGTATATATGTCCAGTGCGAAAAGCTAACGGGGCGAATTCAAACAATAACCGTGAAGGTTTAGACGGTGTGAAGTCAAACTCTGAGCGCTATTTAGTGATATTTTAGATATTGAAAAAAAAAATCGGTGACTTCACGTAACTTCATCAGGTGATCATCGATAGGCTCAGAAAAGTCTTATCCTAATGGAACCAATGGAACCAATGGAACCAGTGGAACCAGTAGAATCAAACTATAAATGGTGAATATTGCTAGAAGAAGGCGAAGAGAGAAATTTTACAAACTATGAATAAAATTAAAAAATAATTTAAAATAGATAAAATCGGAAAAAAAAAATTTTACTGGAGTATATGAGAAGAATTCATTGATATCGTTGGATTTGAATTCGTTCGTCGAACTTATATGATTTCGTATAAAACGAAGCATTTTTTTGTTTTTTTTTAAAAAAAATTACTGAAACAAAATTTATTTAAAATTAAAATTGTTTTTTTTTCCAAATAAATCGATTAATAAAAATATATAAAATTTTATTCTAAAATTATAATAAATACAAAAAAAAAATATATTTAAAATAGTTCAACAAATTTATAAAAAAAATAATTCAATTATAGAAAATTCTAAAATGAAAATCACCAAAATAAAAATACTGACAGTCGATCAGTTTTTAAAAAAAAATTAAAAAATTAAAAAACAGGTTTATGAGTCAATTTAAGTGTTTAAACTTGAAAAATTTTAATTATTAATTGCGGTACCAATGATTCATATTAATTTAAAAAAACCTGTCGTACTAATAAAATTTCCCCTAAGAGATTCCCCCTCATCCTTCATCCTTCATCCCTCTCTCCTTCCTAAAACAATTTTTTCCAGGAGAAAAAATGGAAAAAAAATTTTGCAAAAATAAAGCCGAGAAAATCGGCCACAATATTCAAAACGCGGTCCACCAAGATATTACGGCCCATGTTCACCTTGGCATTAACTTATTCATTATGCATGGTTCCTTCTGGTAAGGTTCCAGCCATAGATATTTGGTGTATTCGAGGGCTTTTTGAGAAAATTTGAAAGTCTAAATCTCGCGGATTACAAACCTGAGTTGTAATGTTCGATGTTCGAGTACCACATTCGGTTCTATTGAATGCAGATTTCGATTCTATTATTCTTATAAAGTTGCTGTAGCTTAGTGGTAAGAAAATTGAAGATCAAGGCTTGGATTCAAATCCACCGATGCACCATTCTTTGCTGGACAATAGTGGTGCCTAATGCTTAGTTTGGAATGCCGGTGCTGAAATTCTGCTCCCGGTATGATAATCCTATTTAAAAATCCGGTTGATGCTGGCAATTAATCTGTATTTCTATCGCCAAGGGACTCCTTGGCATATTTGTTTAATCCGACAAACCAGAGGAGTCTAACCAATGATGATGGTGAATGCTGCTAAAAAAAAACAAGTTTTATTCCAAGATATTAAAATAATTACATTGGCCTGAAGGCTAATTTTTGATTATGGTCAGTTTCGAATTAACTGAATGTTACAATCACCCAGGATTTCTCGAAAATGATGAATCATTCACCAATTTCAGTACCGCAAAGTCCAGATTTGTCACCATAATTGCAATACATTTTGAATAAAAAGCAGCATAAAACAACACCAATCAAGACTTGAGACGTGTAAGCACAATGGTGATTTATGGGCTCAAATGGTGAAAAAAAAGAATAGCTCTTTTATTGTCAGTAGTAGCATCTGATCGCACCGCTTGGAAACACAGCAAAAAGACTCATCTATTACGGACTCTTTCGGTAACAAGCATAGCCAACCAAATTAATGGTACGAAACGTTGGAGAAAGAAAAATCTATTATCCTTCGGGAAAAAAATTTTGGTACTTTAAATAACCTCTAAGTAACTTCAGTCATAACTTAACATTGTCCCTTTCTGTTTCCTCCTATTAGCGTTCCACTGAAACTTCGTAGGCATTCATAGCGTTCTTAACCCGAACTACTATATTGAAAGAAAATGATGAAAGGGAAAAGGAAATAATCCTGATGCATCTGCAATGCTGTTCAAATGGCCACACTTGTTGCTCTAAGTCCTTTGAGCTCTTTCGGTTCTCTAAGTCGACCGAATATATATTTTGTTTTGGTTCCATCAGTGGAACGGATTTTAATGGATTAGTGCAAAAACTAATTTAACAACACGAATTTTTCCACAACTTTTTACCACATATTTTTTAAATGAAGGCTGAATCAATAAAATATGGTTTTTTTTATAATTTTAAAGTTTCCAAGATAATTTTTCAATATTAATTTTTTAAAATTTTTTAATATTTTTATTTAATAATATTCTAATCTTTAATTTAATAAATATTTTTTAATATTCCATTTAATATTTTTTAATATTTTTTGTAATAATTCTTTAACTCAGTCTCGCCAGCCATTGAGAACTGAGGTTTAAGAGTATATACTATACAACAGTGGAAATTTTCTATAAATAGTGATATGGAAATAGTTGAATAATTAACATTCGGCGATTATTGAATAATTATCATTTATTAGTGATCTATTATCAGTGGATCATTGTCGATATTTTAATAGTCTATAAAGAATTGTTATTTTATTATAAAGGCAATAGCGTAATACCTTACCTGATTTTTTCGACAAATAAAGAAAATTACAATTACTTACTTTAAAAACAATTTAAAAATAACGTAACTCATTTAGAGTTACTTTTTAACTGAAATGTAGAATTTTATTTTATTTTATTTTATATTTATATTTAACTAAGGATAATTCCATTTTTATGTGATTTAATTTTTTGCTTTCATTACTAAATGGAAATAGTAAATGTTACGAATAGAAATAATAATAGAAATAAAAAAAAACAACAACAATTAAATGCAATTAGTTAAAAAAATTAAAAATAATAAGCTGATAATATTCAATACAACAATAATATATCATAGTGCTGAATTTTTACGTAAAAAATTTAAGAAAATCAACAAGAAAATGCATTAAATTTCATATCCAAAAGCTAAAAAAAAACGACAAAGTTTAGTGATAAAAATGATAAAGCCATTTACCTTTGAATAGAACAAAATATGAGGAAAAAAATGTTAAGAATTAACATTTGAAATCGCGAAGGAGAAAGACAAGAGAATTGCATGGACTTCCAACACATTTAAGGCCTAACTTCTTTCTAATCTCTTTTCTAATCTCATGGTTGTTGAATTCGTTCCTGCGGGCCCATATGGTCTGTGAAGTATGAAATTGCAAATGTTGAAGCTATTCCACAGAAAACTCCTGAAAATTGAATTCCTTTAATATTCAAAAAGTGTTTCTTAAAAAAAAAACAACTGAAGAAACCACACTATAAACATTTGCATATCTAGCTAACTATTTAGATAACTATTGAAACAATATAACAAGAATCGTTTTGGTTAAACGACAATGGATGAAATTTGACTAAGCTTTCTCCTTAATATCCTTATTTCCTCCCAAACTTCGCAGTGCCATAAATTTGCAAAAAGCAAAGCAAACCAAGGGTAAAGAAATGTAAAGGGATCTCGAAAATATTAAGGAACATCACAGAGAAATGAGGAGAAAACATCAAAATATTACATCAGTTTGAAAGGTATTGAAAGGTGGTAAGGGAACGGAGGATTATGAATAAAATTCTACTCGTCCATAGGATACGCCTTTCTTTTTATCAACCAGTTAAAATCCTCTAGAACTCCCAACTACCCTGTTTCCCTCGAATACATCATTAACCCGCACCTTATCCAAACCAATTATTAAAACCAATTAGCAATAGTTTTTGAAGTTCCTGTAAAGGTGTAATGATAAATTACTAAACTGCATTATGATTTACGTCCCATTAATGTTCCCTAAAAACTAGTAACTGCAATAACACCTTGATCTAAAATACTAAAACCTTTGATATCAAATTGAAAAAAAAAACATTGATCATTTTTTCTTAAAAACCTCTGGAACTACGTTAATTATTTTTAATATTCGAACTACAATATCATTTTGTTCTATATTCAAAACTATCATTTCACTATCATTCATTTCTATCATTTTGAATCCATTCCTAACGCTTTATCTCTCTCATCCCCTTCTCCCAAATCCAGTTCAACACCATCTGTTGATTTGTTCTCCCATTGTTAAAATTCGTATTTTTGCCATTGTCACAATTAAATTATAAATATTGCCAAAGATAAAATCAGATAAGATAAGATAAGCGGGAACATGATCGAAAGAAAGAGTACTGTGCAAATCGCACGATGATGAAAGAGAATTATAAGGATTCGAGGGAATGATTAGGGAATAGAATGGATTTTGAAGAATTATTAAGGAATATATGAGGAAATGAAAAGAAATCTATGGACCGGTTATTTTTTTATACTTATTATTGCCAAATCTATCACTAGAAAAATTGTGAATAATTTTTAAAACGGAATAAAATAATTTAATATAACATACCAAATATGAGAAAGAATGCCGATATCATCCCAGCGATCGATGCTTTCGATTTTTCAACGAGTCTGAACAAATTTATTTTATAAATAGAAATTTATATTATTATTTAAAAAAGATTTTAAAATAAATTTAGTCTACCTCGATAATCCCTTTACAAAACATATAAAATGGATTAAGGGCTATAAATAAAAGACTATTCGCCTGAAAAATGTCGCTTACTTGATAGATTATGTCAAACTATAGTTAATCAAGCAATAGCCAAAAATAGAACGAATTGAAAAACTAAAATCACTCTTAAAGAAGAAGATTAGATTAGATTACCTTGGTGCATACATCATCGCCAAAGAACTGAAATAACCGCAAGTAAATGACATGACAAGCCCTAACGCAAAATAGATATATTCATTGGTAATAAGCACTGGCCAAGTTCGGAGATTTGGACGATAATTGCAAAACATCATCGCAGGTAACAAGAGTAAACGTAGTACAACAGGTATCACCAAATATCTTGGGCTAGGCTAAAACTGAGTTGAAATTAATATTTTAATAAATAATAGAATAACAGAAATGAAAATAAAATGAAATTAAAGAAATCAAAATAAAAACTATTCGGTGGGAATCAACCTAATAAAACGAAAAACTTACCCACTGTACAAAACTAGCAAAAGCAGAGCCAATGCTAGCCAATGTATTGAATAACAGAAATGTTGTAATAGGTGTGAACAAAAATTCTGAAAAAAATTCAAATTCATTACAAATTATAAAATTCATTATAACGAAAAATTCACTGAATGTCTAAACCAAATTCATCCTTATGATTATGTTATTATAGATCGATCATAACCAAAAAAATTCACCACTGGAAACATTTTCAAAGTATTTCTCGAAAAGAAGTACCAACAATCTCTATTCAGTGATCTGTATAAAATATCAAATTAAATATCAATAAAAGATAACAATAAGGATACCAGGAATGAAAAAATCATAAACACCATCACTTCTCCAAAGCCGAACATCAGCCATTATTGCAGGAAAGATGGCGAGTGTCACAAAAAATACAAAAAAAACATTGAAACATTGCACCCATATCTATAATTTATTAGGCAATTAATGTATAAGAAACTTAAAGGCTTTATTTTTTCCGGTTAAGTATCACTTTTGATTTGGCCCCACTGACTATTAGGGTGAGGCATTCCTTATAGAAAAAAGGCACAGATGAATCTATAATTCTTTTGGACCAATAATTTAACTCAATTCTTTTAAAAAATTATAATTGATAATTATGATTGATAATTATAATTATAATTAATAACCTTCTTCAAAACAGCACAATATATCTGCCACTTCGTCTGATTTTTATTGATTAAATCCTCATCCAAAGATTCGATTTCCGATTTTGCAATATAATAGTTATAGAATTCCTGAAAAACAATCGCGAAATAGATGAATGAAAAAGAAAGAAAAATTAAAATAGTAATAAAAAAAATAGACAAATGACCAGCAAGAATGATTCCAAATATCGAAGTTGACAGTCTAAAATAAATCCAAAAAATATTACTGGCAGAAAAACCACCATAAAAATGAGAAAAGTGGAGAAATGAATATCTATGAAATTCGTTAAATTTTATCTTTGAGCCATACTGATTCCACACTCATGGAATTTTCTTATTTCTTAATTAACAACCTCCTGCAATTCCTAGTTCATTCTCCAAGAAAATGGAGTAAAAAGAGGATTACCTAGACCTAAAGAGGAAAAGACTAAAATAATAAAAATATTTAGGAAATATCAAAAAATTTCATCAAAATAGGGTTGAATGAGGCGATTTTAGGCATTAACGGGTTTAAAAAATTATTAAGGGATATTAGTAGAGACCATAGTGTAAGGATGCTCATAACGTTATCAATGGAGTAAAGCAAGAGCATAATCAGATCTGATGGAACAATGGGTTAGCATATATATGGAAATATGGAAATAACAAAAAATGAAAGGAGGCTATAGGGATCTATGAGGACGTTACTAAAGGTTTAGGAGATACATCGCAAAGGAAAATTTCAAGGAATTGGCAAAGAGTGGGAATAGTGGGAAAAAAACCGTCGCAACCCTGGAGGAATATGAAAATGAATACTTTCCTCAACATGACGAATTATTTCCATAATTGTCACAAAACTCAAAATACACTCACGAATTTAGGAAGCATAATGAAGGATACAAAACAAGCAATAATGGTGAAAAGTGCAATACTGAAATATGCCACCGCTGCATTTTGAATCGAATTTGAAGCTGAAATATTTAAAAAAATAAATAAAGAAAAAATTGAAATGGATTGTGCTATTTTTAAAAAATTTAAAATTTGATTTTAATTTAATAATTTTAATTTTAATAATTAATTCTCTTAAAATTTTAAATTTCATTGTGTAAATCTTTTAATGTTTAATTTAATTTTATTGAATAAATTTTATTTAAATTTTAATTTATAAGCTTCATTAAAATTTTAATTTTCTTATTTAATTAACAATATTTTTGTACGTAAAATCTAAAATTATTTATTAGAATTATTGAATAAAATAAAAAGAATTTAGTAGAGAAACAATTGAAAAATATAACCAACCGACGAGTGTTATAATATTAACAATAGAAACAAACAATCCACAAACATTATTGCCGAGAACAATTGCATTCGTGAAACGTGGCGGAAATGAAGCAACAATTCCATACAATGAATTCTGATATATTCCAGTCGCTGCATTCAACAAAACGACAGTGAATATTGTGATGAAGAAAAATGCCGCCACCACTAAAATGTTTTTGTAGTCTTTTAGCAAATATAATAAAGAGTTACTGGTCTAATTTCATAATGCCCGTAGGAGTAAATTTGCCGTTCAAAAACCCTTGGGCAGTGTTGGTCAATCCACGGCACTTCCATCACTATTTTGACTCTCCTGGCTAAATTTATTTGCTCCAAAAAGCAAATCCAACCAAAAAAATGTGCGCACATTTTCAAAAAAACTTATAAAATAATTAAAAACAAACTTGACGACGTATCAATTAAGGCGAAAATTACAGTTATTAGGCATAATGTACCGATGACAATAAGTGAAACAATAATTCTTCGCTGAAGACCTCCTCTGTAAAGAAAATTTCGATAAGAGGAAAACGCTATTGCAATTGTGCGGCAGCTTAGACTCGACTATGCTAATGGATTTGAGCTAAATAATTCCTTCATTGGCACCAAAATATATTGGAAATTTTGAAAACAAATTTGTTCATAATGGAATACTTATTTAGCATATTTATTTCTACAAATATAAATTAAATGAAATTAAATATTAAAAATATTAATTTAAAAAAAAAAACCACTTTATTTGAACGAATATATTGAGAAAGCTTAGCAGAAGATTGGGTAACTGCGAACAAACTCCAATATAACTAAAGAAATTTAATGAATATTTCGTTTCGTGTTTCACTCCATCGCTATCGGTAATTAACAGTTTATAACCAACGAAGTACTATAATAAAGCTGATTTAAAAAATTTCAAAAAAATTTTATTTTGTTTTTGTTTAAAAATAATTCGAATGATATTTAAAGTGGTTTAAAAGAAAATAATCATATAAAAAATAATTATTTAATAATTTATTACTTAATTATTTAATATTATTTAATTACAAATATTATAGATATTTAATTATCTAAAAATTGTTTGCAAGAAGTGAAATTTTTAGGATTTTTTTAAAATGCATACAACATCCATTAACGACAGAACGCTAAACTTATTTACTAATTTGCCAAATTTAGCCCAAAGATGGAAAATATTTGCAAATATTCGTCAAAGAATTATAATTTATACCATTCGATTTGTAATATTAACTACGGTTTTAAACATTAATGGGAATATATTAATAATATTTAGTATTGAGAAATAAATTTTTTGGTGGAACTATTAAAATTATTAAATCTCAGGAAATTTTGACAAATTAAAGTTAAACTCGTTTGTTAAAAATTTTTTTAATATATTCTTTCAAATGCATTCGAATTTATTCGAACTTTTGATAAGAGTTTTGATAAGACCTTTTCTATTTGATAAGACCAAACAACATTATATGCAATTTGCATTTATTATTTACAACTGATTAATTTATGATAAAATATAATTATTATTTATTATTATTTATAATGATTATTATAATAATTATTTATAATTGATTAATTTATGATAAAATATTTAAAAAAGTCTGAGAATTTAAAAAAAATTAAAAGGAAACAAACATACGGAAGGTGCGATAGTGATAAACATATTCCATGGAATTAATATGCCGATTCCATGAAGCATTGTAATTAGATAAACAATGTTATAATAGTCTTTTGGTTTCCTTTCTTCATCGTTCAGCATTGTTTTTCTTTCTGAAATCACCGCTATTTTATTCGAATTTAAATATTAAGCATTGGCCATATTTTTTTTCATTTTATGATAAAACTGATAACTGATAAAACTGATAATAATTCTTACTGAAAAAAAATTGAGAAAAATTTTACGAAGGATTTTATTTTTAATAACTTCCATTCAAAGGCTTTTGCTTTGATTGGTTTCAACTAAAACCTGTAAAAATTGGGGATAAAGTGGCTCAGTGGGTTGTTGCTCGATTAGTAGCACCGGTGCTGAGGTTCGATTCTCGGCAAGACTAAACCTATAAAAACCCAGGTGATACTGGACCTGAGTGATTCACCTGTATTTCTATCACCAAAGGACTCCCTGGCATATTGTTCAATGTGATAAGTCAGTGGAGCGAGTTTAACCGGCAATGGATGATACTTAAAAAAAAAAAAAAACCTATTAAAATAACTTTTAGCTTAAATAAATTATAATATTACAAATTATAATATTATAAATTAAATTATACATAAAATAATAATAAAAAAATATTAAGAAAAAGAAAAATTTTTTTAAAAAACAAATTAATGTTCACTTAAAAAATAAAATGAAACATTTTAAACTAAAATAAAACTAAGCGAAAATTGAAAATATAATAAAATTTGAAAATAAAGATTGATTGAACCAACAGTAAAGAAAAATAAAAAAATTATTTGCTTGCTTGCTTGCTTTTAATCATCTTCCAGCACTGAGTGACTGAATAACTGAGTAACGATGAAAAAACTTGAAATTTCTAGTGTTGCAATAGTAAAATTAAACTAATAATAAGTGAATAACTGAGCATTCTTCTTCTTCTAACAGCTTTCACCATTAGGCTGGTTAGGTTCTGGCTCGCTCCAACGGTTACAAGGATAAGACGCTTCCAAGCGGAGCGGTCTGATGTCGTCGTCGACAGTAATAGAAGCTATTCCTTTTTCCATCGTCTATATCCATATGTTGCTGGTCCATCTATACGTTCAACAACTGAGAATGCGAATGAATAACTTAAAGGCTTAAAAGGCCGATCTTTAAGAAAAAACCTCGTACTCAAAAGGTCAGATTTGAATGAAGTGGAGTGATAAAATATGATCGACAAATGACGACAATGATTTGAAGTTGCTTTGACACTTTTTATAAATAAGATATATTTTTTCCTATTCAATTTTTTTTGTATTTTATAAAATATATAAATAAACTAAAAAATAACTTAAAAAATCGTCGAAAAAAATTAAAAATCAAAAATCAAAATCAAAATCAAAACAAAAATGAGAAATAATAAAAAAATAGAAAGAATATCAAAAATGATATTTTTTTCCAAATTTCCATATCAATCATTTAATATTATTTAATTTGCATATATATTTTAAAAAGTTATGTTTTTTAAGTTTTTTTATTAATTTTGCATAAGAATAATTATAATTCGAGTCAATATAATTGATAATATTTATAATTACACTTTTATTTGAATTATATCATTTATATCATATTATATTACAAAAATCCCTTTTTCACCTCCTGTGAGTGGTAACAATCATTCTTAACCTTGGCTCTCTATCAGAGTCCTAGAAGATGGGGGTTCGCGCAATATCTTAGCTATTTCTAGTACTGCACTTATCTACATAGAGATCTCTTGTTTCTAGAATCTGTTAAAACCATTTTTCTAATTTAGGAGTCACACTTCTCAGTGCACCAATTATCAATAGAATTACCTTGGCCTACATCTTCGTTCCTTCTTCAAATCCTGATATTTCTCTAATTTTTCATATTTCTTCTTCCTAACATTCCTTTCACTTGGTATTGCACCAGTATCTATCACCAGTGCTGACAACCCTCTACAACAGCGATATCTGGTTGATTAGCCAGTTTTTATCTGCTTGGATGGGGAAGTCCCTTTTATTCTCCAATATGTATTTCTCGCTAATTTCAATAAATATTTAAAAATATAGCTCAAAAAAAATAAATAAGAATAAATAAATGAGACTAAATTCATCATGAAATATTACAAATGAAATATTAAATATTAAATAGTTTCCTAATTTGATATTTATATATAGGAAATAAGCAAAGATTTGTTTATTAGGAATAAGCATCTGACTTCCAACTGTGACTTTATGGGACGGTTCCAGGTGACCTGGTAGGATATTTGCATTTACTGCTGAATTTCACTATTTGAAGTTGTAGAACGATAGCTGCTGACATGTACGAAATTGCTCTCCCTTTTTATTTTCGAAAGGACGGAAGAAATGGATTAATGAAGCTTTTGAAGACGGAATAATTGGTAATTGTAACGCAAGGAATGGTCTGCACAAATCAAAAAAGGAGAAATCAAAAGGATTTTTAACAGCAAACAAGTCAAAGATAGGTAAACCACAGGTTAACTGCAAGAGTTGATTAATGAATGTTCACGCCAAACAACTTGGAATTAACATAAAAATTAGGATATAACCATTCTTCAATAATATCAAGACTGGGGATAGAAGGGCTCAGTGGGTTGATGATCAATTGGAAGCGCCGATACGATTCGATTTAAGATTCGATTCTCCGCAGGAGTAAATCTTTATAAAAATCTACGTGGCTGGCGACCTACTTATATTTCTATCGCCATGGGACTCCATGGCATATTGCTTAACACGACAAGCCAGTGAAGCGAGTTTAATCAGTAATGGTGAGGACTCTTAAAAAAAAAGCACAAAGACCAAGGTAAGACTTATCTTCGTACTTAGCGGAACTAACCTAACCGGTAATGGTAATGAGAGCTGTTAGGAGAAAAATGCCAAGACCACAAAAACTCTGGAAATGGATGCCATATGAACAAACACCGCTTTCTCTTTTTGTTAAACAAAAACGGAAGTATTTTTGCATTGTCAATAAAGAAAGGAAATGAATTCAGGACGATAATATTGAGTGGCGAAAACTATGGAATGACCTAGGATAACTAAGGAAATCACTGTTCAAAATAATATATTAGTTCGGACACTCTATGCAGAATGAAATTATATGACTTGGAGACTTGGAGAAGCAAATTTTTAGATTTCGCTAAATTCTTCTTTATGGAACAAGACTTAATTCCATTGGACCGCCATTTATTCCAGGACATTTTAAAGATATGGACGAAATTCGAAATCTCAAAATTGCTAATTCGAAGGCATTTTTCTAGATTGATAAATGATCGCAATTTTACTACGATGGAAAAATTTTATAAATTATTAGATAGATGACTGAAAATGATAACGATAATGAAAATACTTCGATATCAATGATTAATTAGAATCTATATATTTTATAACTTAGTTATCAATAAACACTAGAAATTTACGATTTTCTCTTTAAAAATTCTTTAAAAAATTTAAAAAATTATTTTAAAAAATTAATTGTTTTTTAAAAATTGTAATTATAATTAAAAATTTCAAATAAAAATTAATTTCTTAATTACGAATTTATTATTTAATTATTATTTAATAGCAAAAAAAACAATATGTAAATAATGTAAGTACAAAAAAATAAGTAATAATAATAATAAAGTAAATATTAGATAAGTAAGTAAATAATAAGTAAACAAATAAGAAGGTAAATAAATAAGAAATAAAAAATAAGAGTGCCAGACAGACTATTATTCCAGAAGTGAGAAGCAAATTTTTAACGATAAATTTTGCTCATATCACCAACTATACATTGAAACAATAAACGATAAAGCAATAAATATTTGCCTCATTCCTCCTCTCTCCTCCTTCCTCCCTCATTCTCTCTTCCTTTCCTCCACCTAAATATAAATATTTCTTTCAATTGCCTAACTTTTTATTTGCAATAAAAAATAATTCTAAAAGGGAAATAAATTTAAAATAACATACATACATTTTTGTATGAAATAAAAATCACATAGTCAAAGACATAATGTAATGTAACAATAAATGAAAAGTAAAATATTAAATTATTAAATAAGTAATAAAAATATTAAATAAGTAATAAAAATCGAATATTAATAATAAAATACCTGCTTGCAATTGCTTTCTGTTGAAATCGTCCATTTTCATTGTATCTAAAATTTATTTTTATATTTATTTTATTGTTATTATTATTGTTATTACTATCATCATCGTCACTTTATAGCAGTAAAAGTAATAATAATAAAATAAATACAATAATAATAATAATAAAATTCCTTTCTCATATGGAGGAGGAGGGGAGGGGGGGGGGGGGGGTCATATGATGTGGGCTATTCTCAATCTTGGATCCTCCACTGCAGACCTGAAAGCTTGAGCGTTTTGTGCAGTATCTTAACTATTATGCTTTTCAAACCTGAGATCTTTGATGTTTCCAGAATTTTTTTTGCTTTCAATTTAAAAAAGAACGCGCTATTCAAAATAAAAAATTAAAAAAAAATAAAAAAAGAAAAAAAAATAAAAATCAAAACATTTCTTTCATGTTCTAACCGATGTCTGAAATTAATTAATTGATCAATGATTATGAATTATCAAAATACCAACTGCTTATCAGTCCAATCAAGCTTTTTTTATATCACACTAAAAAAATTTTGTATAAAAATTTTTTTATGATTCATTATAATATTTATTAGTAAAAAGAAAAAAAAACTATTTCTAATAATTTAATCTTAAAAATATATACAGAATAATAGGTTAATTTTCTAACAAAAAAAAAATGGAAAATATAGACTAAATATGGAAAATATAAAAATTGCATACGTTAAGTAAGATCGATTTTAAAAAAGTATGAGAATTTAAAAAGATTTGGATTGGTGCTAAATGGTGTGTAGTAGACTAGTGCTAGTGTGGTGATAGCGATACAGTGAAATATTTAAGGAAGTATACGGAAAGATGTGGAGGTGAATGAGTGGTGCAGTGTCTTGATCCCTTCAGTAAGAGTTTATAGATTTCAGAGAACAAAACTATACACATGGTCTTTCATGAGATATTTGATAAGAATTCCACAAAGATGCACCTAATTATCATAACACCACAAATCAGAACTCGCTAACTGCGATTTTTCTAAATTCTACAGTAATAATTAAAATTATATGTTGCCAAAGCAAACCAAAATGTATAGAAACGATAAGCCGTGATGTTCCACTTTACGGTTGCTACAACAGTTTTATGATATTGCGACAATCGTTATCAATAGATAAACAACTTTTTTTATAGAATTTCGTCTAACATTTAAATTTGTTATATTAAAATAATCCAGGAAGAATTCATATTAACATATTATCTATTTTGTTCTTTTTTATGGATCAATTAAACATCTAAATTACTGATAAACTTTAATAATAAACTTTAGATAAGCGCCTCAACTTTATAGTCAGCGAAGCCATTCAAATCAATAATAGTACAAGCTATCAATAATTAAATCAATAAATAATGATTATTAAAAAAAGACTAAAATTAAAAATAGCATTAAAACTATTAGAAAAAAAGCCATTTTTTTAATTCTATAAATAAATCTATAAATAAATTTTAAAAAATTTTAAAATATTTCAGAAATTTAGATTTATCCTTCCAAATAGTAAACAGGTTTTGACCTGGATTGACTTGAATGAAATCCTTTCGCTAACAAAACATTAAAAAATGGTCACAACGGTCACAAAGAGATTCTCGGCTGAAAACCGCAAACCACCTCGATTTTCCACTTTCCTGGCCTACTATATATATATATATATATATATGGCTAGGCCAACTGTTAATAAAATTATGATAAATAAAAAATTACAAACAATTATAATGTATAAATGAAATAGACTATTTCAATTTTTTATTATTATTCTTATCATTATTATCACTATTACTTTATTATTACTAACATATTATCATTACTAATATTATTATCATTACTGTTGCCATTATTATTATCGTTATCACTATTACTATCACTGTTGCTATTACTATTACTACTATTATTACTATTGTTATTAGTATTATTATTACTATTAGAATTATTATTACTAGTATTACTACTATTATAACTGTTTATAATTTTTATTTATAAATATTATCATTAATATTATTATTAATTATTATCAATCAAAAAAATATTAATATTACTATTATTTCCACGCTAAATTAATGATAATATTTATGAATATTCTGATTATTATTTATAGATTTATAAATTTTAAAACTTCGAAAAAAAGCCATAAGAAATTAGGTTTAGGCTTAAAGCCCAACGCTTAGGCTTATGAAAAGGCTTGGAGCTTTAGGCTCCGACTAAGATCAAGCCTGGGATTAGCATTAGAGCCTTAGGCCTGAGATTAGGCTTAGAGCCTTGCGCTTGGGATTAGGCTCAGAGCCTTGGGCCTGAAGCCTTAGCTTTAGGCCATTATAAATACAAATAAAAAATAAATGCAAGCAAAATGAGGGAGATATGTGAGGTAATATGAGTGATTTGAAAACGCGGCCGCTGCCAGAAATTACAAAATTGATCGTTTTAAAGGGGTGTCGGAATGGATGCAAATTTCTACGTTAATAGTATTCAACATCGCTATCCACAAATTCGCCTCCTTTAGGAAACCCCGCTAAGCCATCGAAATCCTTCCCCGTCCCTTCCGGGGTTCTTTCACCACCCTTCCTCTTCTCCCACTCCTTCACCCCCCACCACGCATCGCCCCCTCCTTCGTCGCTAATTTTTCCTTTTCGATTAAATTTGGTTGAATTGAATCATTTTCTTTTCCGAAAACTTTCCCTCTAAATCTTCCAAATAAGAATTTTCTAAAAAAAAAAATTTTTTTTTTAAATTATTTTTTATCGACAACGAATTTTTATTGTACAGTCAAATTGTGTAAAAGTCGCAGTTGCGGTTTTTTGTTAATAAAATAATCTATCATTTTATCACCTTTGTCACTTGTCACCGAGCAATTTTTTTTTTTGTTTTTATTTTTAAACGATCGTCTCACTTCTTTTTTTTTCTATAAATAGAAATTTTTGCGGCATGGCGTGTGCAAATTGGCGGCCCCTGAAAGTCAATAGTGTGGCTCGGCGCAAATTTTCGAAATATAAATTTTTTTTTTAAATTTACAATTATTTCATAGTAGAAATCTATTAAAATATTGTTCTTTTTTCAAAAAAAAGAGAAAAAATATAAAAAATCGAAAATTTTGAAGGAAATTAAATAAATTATAAAAAAATATAAAAAACTAAATAAATTAACTATTAATTTTATTTAATTTTAATTTTAATAAAATTTATTTTATT